CTTGGAGTATCCGGCTCCCTTGAGCCTCAAGTGCATCTCTAAATTTTTCAACCACACTGCTCATTATTTCTGTTGTACTAATTTTTATTATCAAGAATCCAAAACCTAAATGATAAGTGTGTTGCTATCCTGAATAGCTACAACGTTATGTTCTCTTCCATATTTAAATGTATGCAGACAAGTCTTAATGGTTTTAGTAGTTTTCTGTTTATAATGGTTTCAGGGCTCACACAAATGATACCAGTTCACACAAGGAAAGAACACACTCCCTCTGAATTCATGTTTGGGTTACGGTCTAAAACCCCAACCCAAAGAATTAGTCATGGGTAGTCTATGCCATCGTCCCTCTGCCAAATGCAACCGAAATGTATTAAAGAAAATCCAGACTCATGTTGTGTTTGAGGATATTTTTATTTGGTTAATATTCCACCAATTATTGGCAAGAGAATTGTTCAGATTTGGTTAAATAACATACTCAAATTTTTATTCAGTGTTGTTTACAAAAAGCATGTCTAACACAAAATGACATTAAATTTCAAAATAAAAGGAAAAACCTCCCCCCCCACACACAGTAAATACTAGACAACTATACAGGAGAAATAAAAAATATCTGATAAACATTTTTTAAAAGCAACTTCATTTATCTTCAAAATGCAAATTAAAATAACAGTGCAATTCCATTTTCACCTTCAAATGAGAAAAATTTTAATAATCATCAATGCTGATGAGCATGTAGTAAGAATATTTTCATACACTGCTGATGGAACTGTAAATTGGAACTACTATTTTTTTAGTGATTTGGCATTATATATTAATGGATTTAAATTTTCATATCTTTAGTTCTATCTATTCAACTACTCAAATTCAACTTTTATTCCAAGGAACTAATTGGAGCTATATATAAAATTTATGTTGAAAATTTTGTGTCAGCATTATTTATAATAAACAATTGGAATCAACCTAAATGTCCAATCGTGGCAGAAATGTGAGATCAATCATGATCTGTCAATGGGATGTAATATTCTTCATTTATTCAAAACCATGTTATTTGATAATTTGGGGAATGATTTGGGAAATGCTTATGATACAATGTTCATCAGAAAAATCAGAATACAATATTATGTGTCCAGTTCTAATTTTTATTGAGTTAATGTATGTTGTTGGACTGGAAGGAAAAACACATTTATCTGGGTGATAAATGGTCTGGGTATTAAATATGTGCAAGAGAATATATTAGCAATTCAGTGGCTTTCTTACAATAAAAGGCTAACACGTTTCTTTTAGGGTAAGTTGTGTTGTTTCAATGCACAAATGGTTTGTTTTTACCTTTGCAGTACCTTGTCCAGTAGGAGAATTCTCTCGTTCTGGATTAATGCCCTGTTACCCATGTCCTCGAGACTACTACCAACCCAATTCAGGGAAGTCCTTCTGCTTAGCTTGCCCCTTTTACGGAACTACAACCTTCACTGGCGCCAGATCCATCACAGATTGTTCCAGTAAGATGACATATTTCATTTCTACATAATCCTGTGTTAAAGGCTTTTGCTTGTTTCTGTGGTAGCTTCAATTTTGAATATTAATATTTTCAGTGGATTTGGGTGTCTAGACTTGTTAAATTGTCCTTTTCATGGCTTCTTGATGACAGTGACACAAAAGATTCTTAATTTGGGAACGTTGGACTCAGTAATGTCCAGTTTCTTCCTGTGAGTCTAGAATTTAATGACATAGACCCATCCATCTCTGTTTTCTTTTGTAAACTCACTAAAATGAAATATATGTGGCTTTGTCTACTCTGAGAACCGGAATCTTGACCATAGTATTTAAATAGAGTCTACATGTTGGCAATATCTACTACACACTAATATGTTTCTCTGATGTTTTTCTATTAATTTTATTAGGTTTTAGTTCAACTTTCTCAGCAGCNTCTCATTCTTTCCTTTTCTTTATTTGCTTTCTTTCTATATTGATTTATTTTTATGGACATGTTGTACAGCTTACCTTATTTTTTTCTAAGATATTGCTTTTTGCATTCTTTAGCATGTTGAACTTAAAATATCATTAATCAATATAGCAATTATATTTAAGTAACAACATTTAAGTAGTAACTATGTTAAAGTAATTATATCCTTTATACATTTCATCGTTTACTACTTCTTAGGCTATTAAATATTCTTGGGTCTGTGGTTACAAGCCTGAAATTTATTTTTTTAACAATGATTTTTATCTGAATAAGTCCCACATATGAATTTTTTGGTGATGGTATTGTTTACATATGGTCCCATAGGGAAGCAAAGATTGTTTTGGAACAGGATGACAGCCCTTCTTTCCTGGACCCTCTAAGATGAAGTTAAAAGGAGACTCAGAATGAGTCTTTGACCTCTGACTTTGTCTTAGGAAACTTATTTAAGAGGCAACATCTACTTGGCCTGAGGGCTGTTTGCATTGTCCTTACACTATCAGGGAACAGACTTGTGGGACTGCCTTTTTCCTTGGTCATTTCAGTGCTCCATTTTTAATTCTATTTTAATATCAGTTTTGGCATACTTAGTTTTTTTTCCCCTCTCTCTTTCTCTCTACAATAGAAGAGGTGAGAAGATTTTGCTTCATTTTCTTGACTCAGAAACCAATTCCTTTGGCCAAGATTCAAAATGAAACTTTCTCCCTTCTTTTCTTATGACATTAGTCCATTAGGAACTGCATATATATGAGTGCATGTGTGCATGTGCATCTTTTTAATTCTGTATTATGTACTATAATAGATGTGCCATTATAATGCATATGTGTTTGTTTACATGTGCATATGTTATACATATGTTCGTGTGTGTGTCTGTGTGTGTGTGTGTGTGTATTCACTGCATATAAAATAATACATTAAATGCTGATTGTCCACTCCTGGAAAGTATATTTCTGATGACAACTGTTTGCCCTTGGAATGAAATTTAAACTAATGTTCACGTGAAAATTTATTTTACACTTTCTGTGCCAAAAAGCAAAGTAGACATAGACAGTACAACATACTCACTATTTTGAGAAGCTAACTGGCTTATTGACTTTCAACCTTAAGATTTTATTATAATAATATTATTATTATTATTATTATATCTTAGTAGTTTTTTTGACGTTCTGTCAGTGTGTAAGGGCATTGACATCTTTTTCTTTTTGAAGGTAAGGTTGCACTACAAAAATGACATGTAAAAAACAGTTTAATTCATTATAGCATCTTGGGTTTTAAAGACAAAATTTGTTTTTAGCTTATTATACACACTAATAGATATTCTCTCAAACAGAAGTTTTACATCTTTACCAGTGGAAAATTTATGCTTTCAATTAACTACTTTAATTAGTGCTGTTTGGAAGGTACCTTTTCCAAATGGGCGATCTTTTTAGAAACTTGAGATTCAGAAAACCCATTGTAAACTCAACAAATTTATATTTATGCAAAGCCCTTTCTATCCTCTGAGATTTACAAACAATTGAGTAGATTAATTTAT